ATTCTCTTCCCATTGACTTATCTTCAACTCCATTTGAATCTTGGCATTCTTGAATCATCATTTTGCAATCTGACTTAACTTTTAAAATATTACATTTTAGTCCCCAAACTTTGTATTTGATTCGACCGAGCCATTTTCTCTTGTAATCTTGTTTCTTTATCTTCCAATTGAATCATTGACATTTTTTATCTTCAGTTTGTCATCTGTCTAATCCATGGATTTTTTGCAATTTAGTCCCTAATTTTAGGTATTTTTCATTATTTTTGCATTCATTTCTCCAGTTGTTCATCAAACATAGAGTTTTACCTATTTGACACAATATAACATGAATTAGGCTATTTTTCAACAAAAGAACTAAAAAATATATTATTATCTAAAGCCCCAAATAAGTGTATAAAATGCACTTATTAATTACTCTTTGAACCCGTGGATTACTTGTTAAATAATGACAGGTAGGATTGCCATAATTGGTGGACCTTTTTATTTTAAGAGTTTCAACCACATTCTACTTGAAGTAGAAGTTACTAAATCTCTATTTAGAGGTTTAATTAAAGGATCTGCATACATTAGACTCCCTATAACACTTGCATACTCCAATTGAGCAACTTCCCTTCCATCACTCTTCATAAGTTTTGAACTTAGATCAATAGGGTACTATATTCTCTTATGTTCAAATGCTTGAACTTATTTATCGCATTCTTAATATAATGTGATTGATTTAAATTATAACCCCACTAGTTTTAGTAGCTTTGATACCCAAAATGGTATTCATTTGTCCAAGATCCTTCATCTTGAATGTGAAAGATAGAAACTTCTTCATTTCTTCTATTCCATATATGTGATTACTTATAATCAACATATCATCAACATATAAACAAATAAATATCACATAATCTTCACATAATTTAGAATACATACACTTATCCACATTATTATGTTTAAAGCCAAATGATATAATAGCTAAATCAAACTTTTCATGTCATTTCTTAGGTGCTTGCTTCAAATCATATAAAGATTTCACCACCTTGCACACCTTGTGTTTATTTTAGGGCAAAGCAAACTCTTCAAGTTGTTCTATATAAATCTCATCATCGAGATCCCCATTCAAGAAAGCCATTTTGACATCCATTGATGAACATACAAGTCATGTATATAAGCCAATGTGAATAATATCATGATTGATGTTATTCTAGCTACAGGTGTATAAGTATCAAAATAGTATATTCCTTCATTTTGTTAATAACCTTTAGCTACTAGTCTAGCTTTAAAGATATTAAGAGAACCATCAACATTATATTTTCTTCTAAACACCTGCTTACATCAAATATGTTTGGATTTGGGTGGTAAGTTGACAAGTTCCATTTCAACTTTAATTGCTTCTTTTCAAAAGATATTATCACGAGAAGCCATAGCCTCTCTACAGGTCTTAGGATCAGTTTTCACTTGTAGAACAAAATGAATTGTTCTTACAACGTTATTCTCACTTTCCTCTACTAAGTAAAATGAAATAAGTTGAGAGTCTACTTCATTCGATTCCAACGACTTTTCAATTCGAGTTCTTTTGCCTTTTCAAGGTTCACTAGATTCATTAACACCTTTAAAAGCTGTTTCATCTTATGTTCTACTAGAGCTTGGAATTTCATTATGAACTTCCCTTAATTCATTAACCGAAGATAGTGAATTCTCAAAGAGCTCTATGTCGCTGGATTCAATAATCACATTGGTCTCCAAATTCAACAATCTATATGATTTGCTATTACTAGCATATCCAACGAAGGCACATTTAAAGCCTCTTGGTTCATCCTATTTAGGTTCCTATTCTTACAATAGGCAAGAGATTCCCACATTTTGAAGTATCAAATGCCGAGTTTTCTTCATTTCCACAATTCGTAAAGCGAAACCTTTGTAAATTTTGAAGGAATCTCATTTAGTATTCTATATGTACTTAATAATGCTTCACCGACAAATTGAATGCAGCTTAGCATAATTTAATATGGCATTTATCATTTCAACTAAATTTCTATTTTTTTTAGCTAAACCATTTTGTTCAGGTGTCCTAGGTACTGAACATCGATGGACAATACATTGTTATTCACAAAACATGTTAAAGTCACTAAAAAAGTATTCACACCCTCTATCAATTCTTAATGTTTTTATTTTCTTACTTAAGCGATTTTTTACTTCATTCTTAGATGTTTAAAACATATCAAAGGCCTCATATTTATGTTTTATCAAATAAACACACACACATATATATAAATACCTATTTCCATCTCTAATTAACATGCCATTTAATTCACATATATCCTTTTGAATTAATTCTAGAATGCTAGAAGTTCTTTTCACACTTTGATATGGCTTCTTAGCCATCTTAGATTTTGCACATGTTTTGTATTTAAACACATCATTTTCGTTGTATGAAATTAAGTCACATTTTAACATTATTTTCATATTAATTTACTTATGTGACCTAGTCTAGCATGCCATAAAGTAAAAGAATCAATAATATAAGCAAAATCAACTTTATTAATATTCATCTTGTCAACAGTACATAATTTGACCATTCCTTCACGAGAATATCCTTTACCAACAAATTTCTCGTTTAGGAATAATACAAGTTTACTGGACTCATAAATACATTTAATGCCCCATTTACCTAATAGATTTCCACTAACCAAGTTCCTATTCATGCTGAGAACAAGCAGCAAATTGGTCAAGGTAACGATCTTACCGGAAGTGAAAATGATCTCTACACTTCCTTTTTCAACCACCTTGGAGCGGACTTCACTACCCATTTGAATCTCTTGATCTCCATCAACTTTATGATAAGTTTTGAACAACGATTTATTATATGATACATGTATGGTTGCACATTTATAATACCATAACCTAGGAACCTTTTTCATGACAGTATTAATTTTGTTTACGGTGACCACAATGTTGTCTTCCCTGATGGAGTTCACCTTTCCTTACGAGTTATTTCTTTTCCGGTGTCGACATTTCTTTGAATAATGTCCAAATTTTCCACATACGAAACTACCACCTTTGGTCTATTTCTTGGACTTCTTAAAGTGTGGAAGTGAAAATGATCTCTACACTTCCTTTTTCAACCACCTTGGAGCGGACTTCACTACCCATTTGAATCTCTTGATCTCCATCAACTTTATGATAAGTTTTGAACAACGATTTATTATATGACACATGTATGGTTGCACATTTATAATACCATAACCTAGGAACCTTTTTCATGACAGTATTAATTTTGTTTACGGTGACCACAATGTTGTCTTCCCTGATGGAGTTCACCTTTCCTTACGAGTTATTTCTTTTCCAGTGTCGACATTTCTTTGAATAATGTCCAAATTTTCCACATACGAAACTACCACCTTTGGTCTATTTCTTGGACTTCTTAAAGTGCCTTGAAGGCTTCTTTTTGTTGGATTTGTTAGACGCTTGGTCTTTTCCAAGGCATTGGCTTTTGAAGTGCCTTTATAAGAATTTTCATTCTTATCCCTTACCTTAGGCTCTTCTTCATTGCGAAGATGTTTCTGCAATTGTTCCAAAAGTAATCTTTGGAACTATGCATTATCTTCTTTTGATATCACTTCCAACTCTAGGAATGTTATCAAGAAACTTAAAACCAAAATACTTTGAAATCAAAACTTTCTTGGTACCTTTTTCATCAGCTTTGTGCTTACTTTCCAAAGCGTTCTAGATTTCTTTTTGTAGAGGATGTGTTGTTGTAAAGATCATACAATCGATTGGACAATGCATTGAGTATATGGTCACGACGTATGAGTTCATCTTCTTGGCACTCCTGTCTTTCTATTTTTATGGCATCCGTCTCTCCACTTATTGGTTCTGGTAGCGGCGCTAATTTCGAATTTAATATTTAGAAAATTTTAAGCGCCGTTAATAAAAACTTCAATTTATCTTGCCATCTTGTGAAGTTGGTTCCATCAAAGCGATCTAGTCAAACAAGATCTTGATTAATCAATTTGATTGTCACCATAGCGATTTCATTCTCCATTGTGCAAAATATCACTTGACATTGTTGGAAAATATGTCTTTCACTAGAGAGAAATGGAGAAGAAACAAGAATAAAATCGAGAAGAATATAGAAATGGAAGGTCCGAACACGGTATCATTGTCCTCAAACGATATTTGCCCCCACTTGGATTAAAATTTGGTGATTATAGGATTTTCGACAAATAATTTATAGGAATAATCAAGCTTTATCAAGGATTCAACACTCAATCACTTAGCGTAATCCTTCAAACTTTGAGAACACGAAGGAAATAATTGAATATGAAGAAATAAATTGACAATCTTTATTTTATGGAATCAAATGCTTGTTCAAGAGTGAATTCTATATGTTCTTTTTTATATATTTGCCTTGAATATTGATCACCTATTTATAGGTCTCAAATATACTTCAAAAAGGGGTGCCAAAATTAAATGAAAGACCACCAAAATTCAAATTGCAACAGAAAAAATGGCCAGTTTATTTGCTTTATACGGTCAAATAGGTCAAACCTATGCGACCGCATAGTTGATATAGTAACAGAAAAAAGAAAAAAACTACCACCTGCACGTTCATCAATCAAATCCACCAATTATACACATAAAATTTTCCCTTACCCTTTTTCCATAGACTAAGGGCACCTTTGAATCTAGAAATTATTTGAAGGATAAGCTAGGAGCATGTTGCATTTTGTTACAAATTGGACACAAAAATGGTATTCAAACTCCAAGCATTTAAGGTATGGTGTTTTGGCACTTTTGTAATGTACCAAATTCAAGAAATGTGAATTTTGGCCAAATCGAGTGGGGTTTCTAGGCCATATTGTTTCAGGACGAGGAATTGAAGTGGATCAATTCATAGTTGAGGTTGAGACCAATTGGCCGAAACCTACAAATGTTGGAGAAGTGGGGTGTTTTCTAGGTTTAGCCAGCTATATTGGCGATTTATTGAAGGATTTTCCAAGATAACGGGTCCTATGACACAGTTGACTCGAAAGGGTACTAAGTTCGTATGGTCAGAGAAATGCGAACAATGTTTTCAAGAGTTAAAGGACATGTTCATATCTGCACCAGTGACTATCCATGATGGTTCAGAAAGCTTTGTAATTTACAGTGATGCATCTAAACTTAGTTTAGGATGTATTTTGATTGAACATGGAAAAGTGATAGCTTAAACAATATAAACAGAATTACCCAACACATGATCTCGAACTAGCAGCGGTGGTATATGCCTTGAAGATTTGGCGCCACTACCTATATGGGAGCAAGTGTGAGATCTATACCGATCACAAGAGTCTCAAATACTTCTTCACCCAGAAGAAGTTGAATATGAGACAGTGACGATGATTAGAATTAGTGGAGGCTTACAACTGCACTATCTTGTACCATCCAGGTTAAGGCTAATATAGTAGCTGATGCGCTGAGTAGAAAGAAAATGGGACAGTTATTAGCACTATGTACAAGACAAGATCATTTAATCAGAGATTTTGAGAACTCGAGAATTGAAGTATTAAAGTCACCAGTAAGGAAATCGACACTATTAGCAAGCTTTACTGTGAAACTAATACTCAGGGATAGAATAGTGGCTGCTCAGAAAGATGATCCCCTTTTATGAAAAGATCAGGGTTGATGTGGAAACTGAGAAGAGGAAAGGATTTAACATAGCCCAAGATAAAGCCCTAATGTTTAAAGGTTGACTGTGCATGCCAAAAGATGAAGTATTAAGGAATGAGATTATGATTGAAGCTCACTCTGCTCCTTACGCTGCTCACTTAGGTGAAACCAAAATGTATAAAGAATTACTTAAAACATTTGAGAAATATGAAATGGAAGATAGCTTTGTCTGTGTCCAAATGCATGGTTTATCAACAGGTGAAAGCTGAACATCAAAGGCTGTCTAGTCCGTTGAACCCCATTGACATACCGAATGGAAATGGAAAAAGATTGTAATGGATTTTGTCGTTGGTTTTCCTAGATTAATGAGAGGTCATGATGCAATCTGGTGATTGTGGATCGATCAACAAAATCTGCTCATTTCTTACTAGTTCGGACAACCTATAACTTAGAACAGCTTGCACAGATTTATGTCAGAGAGATTATGTGACTTCATGGTGTTCCGGTTTCTATCGTATCAGGTAGAAACCCGAGATTTACTTCAAAGTTTTGGAAAAGCCATCAGAAAGCTATGGGTACCAAGTTAACTTTTAATACTACATACCATCCTTAGACTAACAGACAATCTGAACGAACTATCCAAGTTCTTGAAGATATATTGAGAGCCTTATCCAATGCTGTACTTGTGTTTCGCGGTGCTTGAGGCGAACTTCGAAATTTGGGCCCTAAGCCCTAAGTCGTCGTAAACAATCCCTTTTTTAAAAAAATAAAATAAAAAATTAGAAGTTTATGGAATTAAATTTGTTAACTTAAATCAACAATAAAACAACAAATAAATTTTTCGGTGTTCCTTCCTTTTCTTCTCATTAAAGTATTTATTCATTTATCTAATCTAACTTCGAATTAATGCCTCTACTCTTTTTTCTCTCTCTCTCCGTCTCTCTGTTTTTTTTAGCTCCAGATGCAGATTTAGGAGCCATGGTATTTGACTCAAGTCACTTGTTAGCTAACAATTATTGAAAAGTGAAAAAAAGCAAAGGCAAAAAATGAGCTGTAGGGATCCCAAAGCAGTCCATAAATAATATCCCAGCAAAGGCCATAGAACAAAGGCAAAATGAAAATGATAAAATCTTTATTTTCTTAACTCTCAATTTCTATTTTTATTACTTGGGATTGGGACTAAACTTGGAATAACCTCACTATTAATCATTTCCATGTAAGAAATAAAAATCTTGGTGACTACAACATCCTCTTCTTTAAGTGCCACTCCACCACTTTTCTGTGAACAAACAATATCTTGTGGAGTGACATCCTTAAAATTGTCTAGTTACTCCTCGAGAATAGTATACTCATTACAGAACTGATATAAATCTCCTCGGTGAATTCGAAGGATCAAGTCCCTGATTCCTTTAATTCTAGGTCTAGAGCTGTCTCAATAGTTTAGATTATTGTGTCATCTAACTTCCAATCTTGTGAAGGATCATGTATATGAGATGCTATCTCTAGATAATTATTTGCCTTCAATAAGGCATCTACAACCAATAACTCGATTGCCTTTCGAACTAGCAAGTATCATTTCCTTTACTCTTTCTATAGCCTCAGATTTCTATTTCAATATGATGCACATCCACAATATGATCCACCACATCTACAGGCATTTGCTCATGAGACCATTCTGATCCCTTGTGAATCATAGGAAGAAACTCATGTTCAAACAAGTGGCTAAAAGCCCCAAGGCCTTCATCATGCAAAAGTCCAGTAAGTTTTCCTTTGTCTTTATGGATTCAATCATAACTAAAGGCTCTGTCCAACTACACTAAAAACAAACACCCTTCTTCTCTCATTTATATTCAGCTAAAAGCAAAATTAAAACCTTCTTGAAACCATTTGTAACTTTTTAAGCAATTGAATTGCTTGTATAAAATTAAGCCAATGAGCCCTATTCAACTTTGAAATGAAATAAAAACCTTTCACACTCTCTTCTTCTGCTGTAGAGTTTTGCCATCAAAATAGTCCATTATTTTTTCTCCAAATTACATTCGAATATTTTATTAAAAGTTAGGAAAATCAAAAATGCCTTCAGAAGATTCAAATTTTCAAATCAATGAAAAAAGAGGAATTTATAGATGAAGTTGAAGAATAGAGCATAGCATCAGATTTTGGAAACCACAAGAAGAAATCAGCCAATAACATTATAACAGCAATTATACCCAAAATCCCAAAATAAAGGGAAGAGAAAAGGGAAAAAAACTGAAATACTATATTATGTGCAGGAAAGTGAAAGAAGGAAGAAAAATAAATTTAGATTTTATACATAACCTAAACAAAAAGGAGCGGTCAATTGAGAGGTGGATTGTTGACGGTGAATCGGTGAGGATGGCCACCACATTAGCTCTGACCACCATTATTGAACATGTAGGTTTTGCCGTTGATTTCTCGGAGTCTAGAGGTCTTTTCTTTTGAACGCATGGGCATAGTGGGTTTTTTCAAAAAAAAAAAAATTAAAAGGTGAAAAAATGGGCCCCCTAAAATTATGGGCCTGAGGCGGAGGCCTCTTGGGCCTCCCATTAGGTTCGGCTCTACCTGTATCCTAGATTTGGGTGGTAAGTGGGAAGATCATTTGCCGTTAGTTGAATTTTCATACAACATAGCTTTCAAGCCATTATTGGCATGACACCGTTTGGATGGGTGACGATGTCGTTTGCCATTATACTGGGATGAAGTTGGTGAAATGAGAGTTTTAGGTCTATAATTGGTCGAGAAGATTGTAGAGGCTATATATAAAATTAGATCAAGAATTAAGACTGTACAAGATTGTCAGAAGAACTATGCCGAAAAAAGGAGAAAAGAGTTGACTTTCAAGGTTGGCGAGAAAGTATTTCGCAAAGTGGCACCGATGAAGTAAATACTACGATTTGGAAAGAAAGGAAAATTGAGTTCTAGATTTATCGGTCCATTTGAAATTCTTGAAAAATTTAGAAATGTGGCATATCGTTTAGCATTACCACCCAAACTATTGGAAGTGCATAACAAATTTCACATTTCTATTTTGAGAAAGTATACACCGGATCCTAGCATATGGTGAATGTTTGATCACTGATGTCCAGAGTGATATGACATACGAAGAAGTTCCTGCAGCGGTTCTAGAGAGAAAGGACTAGGTTTGGAGAAATCGAAAGGTTTCACTAGTCAAAGTCTAGTGGGATAAACATGGTGAGGATGTGGCAACTTGGGAAAGAGAATAAGACATTTTAGCCAAGTATCCCGATCTCGTTAATTAAGCAAGTTAAATTTCGAGAGCAAAATTATTTTAGGTGGGCTCTTGTAGCAAAAAAATAAAAGAAAAAAGAAAAACTACCACTTGCACATTCATCAATCAAATTTATCAATTATTCACATAAAATTTCCACTTACCCCTTTCCCAAAGACTAAAGGCACCTTTGAATCTGGAAATTATTTGAAGGATAAGCTAGGAGCACGTTGAATTTTGTTACAAATTGGACACAAAAAAGGTATTCAAACTCCAAGCATTGAAGGTAGGGTGTTGTAGGCACTTTTGTAAGTAAAATGTGTTGTTTTGATTTGCATTAAATGAGTCATTGTGTTACTCATGAGAAAATGGAAGCACCCTTTGGGGGGTTTATATAAGATATGAAGAGATGATTTTTGGTACTTGAAATGGGTCATTAAAACCTAAGAGTAAGAGGACTGCCTAATGACCGGTTTGCTTTGCAAAATTGACGGTGATACAATTACTAAAGTTTGCATTTCTAGAAAATATATATTTTTTTCATCATTTACATAATTTTTCCCTACTAAGTATTACTTGTGGTACTCATCCCTACTATACTTTTTCAGGTTAACTCGAGGCATGGCAATGGTTTTGCATAGTGGTAAGTGCTCAACGATTTGAAATGTTTTTAACTTTCTAGTAAAATTTTCAGTTGCGTAAATCTCTTATGACCACTTAGACGATGATTTTAAAAATGCTTAAATGTTTATTTCATATAGTTTTTTTAATTTTCAGATTCTGTCCCCCTACTTAAAAAATGGCATAATTTCGGCTATGGTGCATGTTTTAGAGTGAAACCAATGGGCTTTGAAAGGTTTACAAGTTTTCTAATAGTGGTCTTTGGAATTACCTTAAAATATTACCTAGAGTAAAAGTTATGTTCATTTTGGTAAACTGTGTCGGGTCAGTTTCGAAATTTCTGTCCAGCATAGTTGAGAAATATTTTTGAGCTTCAAACATTATCGTCGAGACCCCAATTTATTTTATATCTATACGTATTTGAATGTAATAGTCTCTGCTAAAATTTCATAAATTTTGGTCAACGTTTGTTATGTCAAACATTTTTTTTCTTTCCACTGATGCGTAATCGATATTTGCTGAATTTTCGTCTGATGTTTTCCTAAATCAGTTTACACCATAATTGTCTGAATCTATATGGACAAATATCTCCTAATATATTTTTTTGATATATTTCAAACCCCAAGAATTTTCTTATTTTCAATTTGAGTTGGTTAGCGTTAAAGGGCTCAAACTAAGAATTTTTTTAACACTTCGAGTTCTAAGAATTTGGGGTGTTACAGTTGATCCCATGGCAGGGCCTTTAGGCCTTGTATATGTCAATGCGACAGCATGCTGAAATGGTCTATGTGGTCGCATGGTAGTATAATTTGGCCTTAGTTTCACTCTTTCATTTCATACTCGATTTTATTGATTTTGAACAACAAACTACAACAAAAAAGAGAATAACTTAGCAAGTCTCCACTTGTAAGTAAGCCTATCAAAGCCAAAGCAGAGTCTTCTTTTAGCATTTCTTTGTCTCCACTCCAACAAAAAGCATCAAAGTAAGCATTTATTAAAGAGCCTATGAGAGAAAACACGTCTGGTCATTTTGCTCGAAACTACCCCCATGGATCAAGAACCAAACGATTTGAGTACCCATTTGATAAAAAAAAATTATTTTTGTTTCTATTTTTTTAAAAAGAGTTTTACGTGGTATGAAAATTATTTTCTAAAAGAATTTCCTCTTCTGAAAGAATTTTTTACCTTTCATTAAAAACTTTAATAAAACTGTTTCATAAAAGTAACACTTTTATAAAATTTTCAAAAGCAACATTTAGGTCTCAAAATTCCTGTTTGAAGTGGCAAACAATGGGAGAAAATATAATTTTAGTAAAAAAATAGGTGAGTCTTGAGCCGTCTTGGGCGAGTTCGTGGGACAAGCCGAGTCATACTTCATTAGATAAAGGTGATATTTTAGTTTCATGACTAAATAAGTCATAAAAATACTTTAGTGATCAATTTGATATTTTGCTTGAACTTCAGTGGCTATTAGCAAATAAACTCATGGCCTTCACTTTCCTCAAAAAAATTAAAGGGCATTCAGGAAATGTACAGAAACTATAGGGAGTGAGTCGGGGAAATTTTGGCTTTTTTTAATCACAACATGGGTCCATATGTGTGAGATTTCTGGCAGAATTCTGTAGAACAGTTTCTGTGTAAGTGGAAATGTTCAAAGTTAAAAGGGCGTTCAAGAAGAAGGGTTGAACACTGACTGGACTTCTCATCAACATAGTACTGAGTAGACACAGAAGAATTTTTGGTAAAGATCATCTTTTTATCCTTCTGTTTTCTTTGGCTATTTTGGGATTGTACAAAACCCTGTACTTTGGAGGTTTTAGTGAGATAACAAGAATGTTTTTTTTATGTGTGTGATTTCTCTTTTATTAGGATTTACTAACACTTGCCAGAGTTTATTTTGTGTATTGGTCTCTTTAGTATCATGGTTTTTGATCTTTACTGTTGAGAGAGGAAAATTTGGATTTTTAGTTTTATTCTTGTTTCTAATAACTCGTGATCAATTATTTTTTGTTTGGGTTTTATGCTTATCAGGTTTTTTTCCTTGTTATAATGATGTGGCTAAGCTTTTTGCTGTCTTCATTCCTTTATCTTTTTAGTTCTATGGATGGCTAATTGCTTTTGCTTTGAAGTCGATTAAATGGTACTAGTTCAAAAGAAATTAATTTGCTTAGGGCATGAAAATTGTCATTGTTTGGTACAAGAACAATCGTGTATGAGCACAAAAAATGGTGGATTTTGCATGTACTAGTAGCATAGGTATATGGCCACATCTGATATCTTCGTAGTTATGCCTTTCGATTTTTATGATTTCCATTATTTGTTTATATGTCTTAGGCTTTTTGTATTTCATTGAGCCCCCATGCTTGCTAGCTCCTAATAATTACACAAGGACGTTACATAGAGAGAATATTGAAGAAATTAAAATTTTATTCATTGTGCCTTTCAGTATTGTTCATTAATATATACCAAACATGCGCTCAATGCTGTTCTTTCAACTACTGTTTTTGTTGTTGTTGTTGTTATTATTATTATTATTTCTTTTCTCTTTTTCTTCTATTATTTGTAGCACAAGATTGAAGAAAGGGCTAGTTCTGCATTCAGATTTGGTGGAGCTCTTTAAATATGGGAGGTAAACTGGCATATTGTCTCTCATTTTATCTTTTACAAAGTAGTCAATTTCTCATAGCTGAACTTGTGTATTATTGGTTTGTGGAATTTGTACATCTGGCTAAAATTAAGCCCCTGTTTGGTGGAGATTTGAATTATATTTTTAGTAGATTTGATGAAGTTGATAATATATGTGGTTGAAAGTTGTGAAACCCATGAAATATGTTGTTAAATTTTAATTTTTGACTTTAATTTAGATTAAAATCTGAATTTTAATGAGTACCAAACAGGGGCTAAATGTAGGCAGATGAAGATATATGACCATTGATATATCTGTTTTTTATGTTATCTTTCCTTCTCCATTTATTGGTTATCCTGACTCAAGATAAGTTGCAGAAAATAAGCAATTGGAGGATGGTCAGGATATAAGATACACATGGAGGATTAGGAATTTCTCTAGTTTAAATGAATCCAAGATTTACTCTGGAATATTTGAGGTCAGCGGATGTAGGTGGTATGTCTTGATACTGGAAACTATTTTTAATCTTGCAAATCCCAATGGTAGATGAGTTTTATATTCTTACTTATGCAGGAGGTTATCGGCATACCCAAAAGGATGTAATGTTAAAGAACAATTGTCTGTGTATCTTGAAGTTGCTGATATAGATAGCTTACCAGATGGATGGAGTAGAACAGCCAAGTTCTCTATAAATCTGATTAACCAGACGGATAGCACGAAGTCTATCACGAGAAGTAAGTACTAACGCATTCTCATTAGGATGATACTGGAAATATGGAATCATTTTCCTTTTACATCCATTAACTTGTGTGGGACAGATGTAAATTAAGCCCCTCTTTGTCTTCCTTTAAAACAAAACTTTTAATTCTGATAGTAATTTTCAACTATTCATTTACTTAATAAAATATTTTACATATAAAACCAAAACTTTTTCTCTAATTTTTAACCACACATTCTTTAAGAAATCACTATTAAAAACATCATTTTTTTCCCCTCAATAATGGCCTTTAAACATGGGCTAACTGGTTTGGAATTCTGGAATTTTGTTTTAAGTTCAAAACTATATTCTCTGTGGATCTTGGATGGGCAAATTGATACGGACTTTGTTATTGATGCACATGAGTAAATGATTGGTTAATTCATGCAACAATTTTTGTACCCATTGTCAAGCAAAATGCACGCACTCGGATGGAGAACACAACATTCTATAATATGCCTATAATCATGATCTGGGTGCCAGTCTTGAAACAGTTTGTAGTTAAGTTTCAATCTTCGACATATGAAGATTCTTTATTGTATAAGCCAGGAAATAGAAACTAAGCAGAGTTCGGCTCTCTTTTCCACCCATGCAGAAACAGATCAACAATTCAAAAAGGAGGATCCTGACTGGGGCTTCGCCTCCTTTTTTCATCATAGTGAACTACATAAACAAAATGGTGGTTATCTCGTTGGTGGGACATGTGTGATTGAAGCTGAAGTGTCCGTGACTGATGTCTTCCCTGTTTCCACAGATGAAGTGAGTTTTAATTTTTATAAATTTGTTAGATCTCCACGTCTCAAGACTTGATTCTTATCTTGATTTCTGGTTGATTGTTGCAATCAGCCTTCTGATTCTTTCGTTCCTATTGATCAGAGCATGAATATACTGAGTGATGCAGAATCTATTTACACCAAGGCTGAATCCCTTCTCAAGTCAATATCAAAGGAACCAACTCGTTCAGTACCCGATCCGACAAGTACAGTACCTTCGTTTAAAGACCATGCAGTTGCTAAAGGACGCTTTAACAAGCTGATTTCGTTTCCTTTAAATGATTTGGTCGACTCGGAGCATGAAACTGCAATGATAGAGACTCTGTCAATACTTGGTGACAATCTCTCTTCGTTTTCTGATGACCAGGCAGAACAAATTAAGCAGCTGAAAGCTGATTTCCCCATAACTAAACAGAAGTGGAGAGACTCGGTTCGAGTTAAGTTCAATTGTGAACGTTCATTGTCCATTTTTGAGAAAACCAAGAATTTGCTCGAAGTTTCAGTCAAAAACGAAAATGGAATAAAGACTGAACTGGAAGAGTTGAAGAACAGAGAAAACGAACTGAACGTAGAGCTCAAGAAACTTCAAGATGATAGCCGACGGCTCGTGATGGAACGGTTAGAATTATCAAAGCAGACACAACAAATTTATGCTTTTGCTGAGGAGCAGGCTGGCAAAATTAAAGGCACCGAGGAGGAGATGAGTGCAGCAAACAAGAATTTAGAGGATTTGAAATCTAACTGGGAATCCATGAAGTCTCTCTTAGTTTAAGACTGAGCTTCTGGACCTGCAACATATAAATATAGTGTGGATTTTGTGGTGTGGTGTGGTGTGTTGATGCGGTGTTGTGTTGCTGGTTTTCTTTGCTTTTGTTTAGTGTTCTGTCTCCAATAAATATGGTGCAAATAGTTCTGCTTCCGTTGGAATTCTGATTGCATCAAAACTTTCTGCTTCCGTTGGAATTCTGATTGCATCAAAACTTGTACTTTAATAAAGTGTTGTTGTAATTACTTTGTTTTTGTTTGTGTTTTCTTTCAACTTTTTATTATTTAAATACTTCTCTTATTTGCAAAAATTTTCACATTTAATTTTTTTTCCTAAATTAATGTGCATTGGTGATTTTTAGAACTTTTTCAATATGTTCAAGTTGGTGCGTAAACTTTTGTATTCATTAATTTTATTCCTTCAAATTACAAGGACGTTCAATTTCGTCCCCCATTCCAGATTTATGTACGCCTCTAGTCCCTGAGCTTCAAACGTGCATATATTTTATCCACAACTCTGAATTGTAACATATTTTTGTTCTGAGCTCGAAATTAAGGTATCTTACCAATAAATAATAATCATCATTTGCTCAGTAGATTTTTGCACTCATTTCTTCATCTAAGTTTTTTTGTCTCGCATTGTTAGGTCTTTTTATGCTCCAATACATTTCTTGTTGAATCAATAATCTCCAAATATGTGGTTTAAAATATTTGAGAGGCACTTTCTCTCCCACACAATTTAAAAATCATTTTTTCATAAATTTCCTGTAATTTTATACATACATTCCCCAAAAAAATAATTTTTTAAAAAATTTCTGCATACCTAGATATAAATAATAATACTTATAATGTGTTAATTCCATTTATGGTTACTAAATTTTTAAATAAATATAACGTCAATGATCGATAATTTTTTTCCTTATGGATATTAGTTACTCAATTTTCTAATTGTGACTCTATACAACGTGTCATTAAATAGCATTATTTATTACATCAATTCAATAAAATAGAGTTAGAAATTGATTATTAAACACATTCAATTATAAAATCCGAAGTGGCCTTAATTTGGGCTAGATTTTTGGAATTATATTGTACAATAAAATTACACTCTTTTAGCAACTATTTTTGATGAGTACGCATAATAAATAACGTCTATATATAGAAAGTACAAATTGACCGGAGTTAAGAATAACCCTGCCCATCTTATGAAAGTAGTAGTTATAGACAGTACGTGTTCGACAGTAATCAACATTACGTCTCATAGTAGTTATGGACAAGAGAACGAGTCACTACGATGTCCTAGCCAAAGCATACTTAAGGCATTAGAATCTAGTTTTCTAAAAAACATAGCCAAAGCATACATAAGGCATTAGAATCTAGTTTTCTGAAAAACATGAGCTTTAGTGCAATCACATTTACACAACATAGAAAGCTACAAAACTAAAATTCAAGCGAAGAGAGCTTTAATGGAAGCCCATTTAGATTTCAAATCATCCAACTTCTTGTTTACAAGATCCACCTCTGGCTCTTTGCCTTCAATTTTGCTAGACTACTCTTTGCCTTCTTGTGCAAGAGCATAAACTTGCTTTATCTGCTTCGATATTTCTATCCTTCCTCCTTCAGTTGTCGACTTTTGCTTTTAAGTCCTTCCAGCTGCATCTCCAGTTCATTTTCTCTGTTATTCAACTCCTCGAGTTTAGTCTTTATTCCCTCTTCAGTTTTGACTAAATCTTCCGGCAAATTGTTGGTCTTCTCAAAAGTAGACCAGATATGCTCGCCATTGACCTTAACTTGAACAGAGTCTCTCCAATCCTGTATAGTTGAGGGAAAATTAGCTTTCAAACTCATAATTTCTTTGGCCTGTTCCTCCAAAAACAAAGAAAGGTTGTCTCTAAGGATAGACAAGGACTCTATCATTACAGTTTCATGCTTGGGATCGAACAAATCATGTAAAGGAAATGAAATCAGTTTGTTAAAGCATCCTTTTGCCAAAATTGCATGGTCTTTGAACATAGGCACTTCACGTGTAGCATCAGATACTGAGCTGAACGATTTTCTAATTCTTGGGTATGGATTTGAGAAAGGATTCAGCCTTGATGTATACAGATTCCACGGAATCAACAGGAACAGAAGTATCCGAAGGCTAACCACAACAATCACTTAAAAAATCAAACTACGAACCAGGCAAATAAAACATTAGATCGAACAAAATTAAAATTCTAACAAAAAAAGAACTGAATTTTTAGATTATGTCCTCCTACTTAAAAATGGCATAATTTGGGTTATGGTGCATGTTTTAAAGTGAAACCAGTGGGTTTGAAAGGTTTACGAGTCTTCTAATAGTGGTATTTGGAATTACCTTAAAATATTACCTAGATAAAAAGTTATGCCCATTTTGGTAGACTGCGTCGGGTCAGTTTCGAAAATTCTGTCTAGCATAGTTGAAAAATATTTTTGAGCTTCAAACATTATCAACAAGACCTCAATTTTTTTATATGATATATGTATATGAATGTAATAGTCTCTGCTAAAATTTCATAAGTTTTGGTCAACGTTTTTTAGGTCAAACATTTTTTTTTTTTGGCTTTCTGTTGTTGCGTAATAGGTATCTGCTGAACTTTTGCCCGATGTTTTCCAAAACCAATTTACACCATAATTGTCTAAGTCTATATGGACAAATATCTCCTAATATTTTTTGATATATTTGAAACCCCAAAATTTTTTTTCTTACTTACATTTTGTTTTTGTTAACGTTAAAGGGCTCAAACTAAGATTTTTTTTAACGCTTCGAGCTCCAAAAATTTGGGGCGTTACAGATGATCCCATGGCTGGGTCTTTAGGCCCTGTATATGTCCATGCGACCGCATGCTGAAATGGCCTATGCAGTCGTATAGTAGTAAAATTTGGCCTTAGTTTCACTCTTTCATTCCAAACTCGATTTTAGTTTCACTCTTTCATTCCATACTCGATTTTATCAATTTTGAACAACAAACTACAACAAAAAAGTGAATAACTTACCATGTCTCCACTTGTAAGTATGCCCATCAAAGCCAAAGCAGAGTCTTCTTTTAGCATTTCTTTGTCTACACTCCAACAAAAAGCATCAAAAGTAAGCACTTATTAAATTGCTTATGAGAGAAAAACACGTGTGGTCATTTTGTGCGAAACTACCCCCATGGATCAAGAACCAAACAATTTGAGTACCCATTTGATAAATTTTTCATTTTTGTTTCTATTTTTTTAAGAAGAGTTTTACAAGGTATGAAAATTAATTTCAAAAAGAATTTCCTCTTTCGAAAGAATTTTTGAACTTCCATTAAAAACTTTCACAAAAGTGTTTCATAAAAGTAACACTTTTATAAAATTTTCAAAGTAGCCTTTAGGTCTCAAAATTCCCTTTTGAAATGGTAAACGATGGGAGAAAATATAATTTTAGTAAAAAAAAATAAAAATAGGTGAGTCTCGAGCCATCTTGGGCGAGTTCGTTAAGCCGAGTCATACTTCGTTAGATAGAGGTGATATTTTAGCTTAATGGATAAATAAGTCATAAGGAAACTTAAGTGTTCAATCAGATATTTTTCTTGAACTTCAGTGACTATTAGTAAATAAACTCATGGCCTTCTCTTTCCTCGAAAAAGTTAAAGGGTGTTCAGGAAATGTACATAATTTGCAGGGGTGAGTGGGGAGAATTTTGGCATTTTTTTATCACAACATGGGTCCATATATGTAAGATTTCCGGCAGAATTTTGCAGAACAATTTTCTGTAGAAGTGGAAATGTTCAAAGTTAAAAGGGCGTTCAGGAAGAAGGGTTGAACATTGACTGAACTTCTCATCAACAAAGTACTGAATAGACACAGGAGGATTTTGGGTGAAGATCATCTTTTTATCCTTTTGTTTTCTTTGGCTATTTCAGTAATGTGCAAATCCCGGTGATTTGGAGGTTTTAGTGAGATAACAAGAATTTTTTTGTTTGTGTGACTTCTTTTTTATTGGGATTTACTAACATTTGCCAGAGTGTATTTTGTGTATTGGTCTCTTTAGTATCATGGTTTTTGATCTTTACTATTGAGAGAGGAAAATTGACGTTGACAAAATTAACTAAAGTTTGCATTCTAGAAAATATATTTTTTGTTCATCATTTACTTGAGTGTTCCCTACGGAGTATTACTTGTGGTACTCATCCCTACTATAATTTTTCAGGTTAACTCGAGGCATAGCAATGGTTTGGTATAGTGGCAAGTGCTAGACGGTTTGAAATGCTTTTAACTTTCTAATAAAATTTTCAGTTGTGTAAATCTCTTATGAACACTTAGATGATGCTTTTAAAAATGCTTAAATGTCTATTTCGTCTAGTTTTTTAAAAAATACATCGCATGTCAACTATAATTTAGAAATGTTGGATTGACTATGCATGAAGTTTAATTACTGCTGAATTGAATTTTCAGATTTCGTCCTCCTACTTAAAAATGGCATAATTTGTGCTATGGTGCATGTTTTAGAGTGAAACAAGTGGGGTTTGAAAGGTTTACGAGTCTTCTAATAGTGGTCTTTGGAATTACCTTAAAATATTACCTAGAGAAAAAGTTATGTCCATTTTGGTAAACTGTGTCGGGTAAGTTTCGAAATTTTTGTCCAGCATAGTTGAGAAATATTTTTGAGTTTCAAACATTATCGTGGAGACCTCAATTTTTTTATAAGATATACGTATATGAATATAATAGTCTCTATTAAAATTTCATAAATTTTGGTCAACGTTTGTTAGGTCAAACATTTTTTTTCTTTCCGCTATAGCTAACCGGTATTTGCTGAATTTTCGCTTCTACAACATAATTGTTTGAGTCAATATGGACAAATATCTCCTAATATTTTTTTGATATAGTTCAAACCCCAAAATTTTTCTTATTTACAATTTGAGTTGGTTAACTTTAAAGGGCTCAAACTAAGTTTTTTTTTTTTTTTTTTTTTAACACTTCGAGTTTCAAGAATATGGGGTGTTATAGTTGATCCCATGGCAAGGCCTTTAGGCCCTATATATGTCCATGTGACCGCATGCTGAAATGGCCTATGTGGTCGTATAGTAGTACAATTTGGCCTTAGTTTCACTCTTTCATTCCATACTCGATTTTATTGATTTTGAACATAACTACAACAAAAAAGAGAATAACTTACCAAGTCTCCACTTGTAAGCAAGCCCATCAAAGCCAAAGTAGAGTCTTCTTTTAGCATTTCTTTTTCTCCACTCCAACAAAAAGCATCAAAAGTAAGCACTTATTAAAGAGTCTATGAGAGAAAAACACATGTCTGGTCATTTTGCTCGAAACTACCCCCATGGATCAAGAACCAAACGATTTGAGTACCCGTTTGATAATTTTTTTATTTTCGTTTCTATATTTTTTTTAAGAATATTTTTACGAGGTATGAAAATTAATTTTTGAACTTCCATTAAAACCTTTTATAAAAGTGTTTCATAAAAGTAACACTTCTATAAAATTATCAAAAGCAGCCTTTAGTTTTCAAAATTTAATTTTGAAGTGGTAAAGATGGGAGAAAATATAATTTTATTAAAAAAAAAAATAGCCGAGTCTCAAGCAGTCTTGGGCGAGTTCATGGGACAAGCAGAGTCATACTTCGTTAGATAGAGGTGATATTTTAGTTTAATGACTAAATAAGTCATAAAAATACTCTAGTGATCAGTTAGATATTTTGCTTGAACTTCAATGACTATTAGTAAATAAACTCACGGCCTTCACTTTCCTCAAAAAAGTTAAAGGGCATTCGGCAAATGTACAAAAACTGCAAGGGATGAGTAGGGGAGATTTTGGCATAATTTTATCAAACATGGGTCCATACGTTTGAGACTTTCAGTAGAATTCTACAGAACAATTTTATGTAGAAGTGGAAATGTTCAAAGTTAAAAGGACGTTCAGGAAGAAGGGTTGAACATTGACTGAACTTCTCATCAGCAAAGTACTGAGTAGACACAGGAGGATTTTGGGTGAAAATCATCTTTTTATCCTTTTGTTTTCATTGGTTATTTCGGTAATGTGCAAATCCCTATAATTTGGAGGTTTTAGTGAGATTACAAGAATGTTTTTTATTTGTGTGACTTCTCTTTTATTGGGATTTACTAACATTTGCCAAAGTGTATTTTGTGTATTGGTCTCTTTAGTATCATGGTTTTTGATCTTTACTGTTGAGAAAGGAAATTTTGGATTTTCAGTTTTATTCTCGTTTCTAATAACTTGTGATCATTTAGCCCCCGTTTGGCCCCCATTTTCTGAAAATGAAAATGGGTGGAATAGCATTTTTTTTTAAAATGAGTGATTGAAAAAGAAGAAAAAGTTTTCGATTTACGTATAATATTATTTTACGGAAGATTGTGTAGTTTAAAATAGGAGAGATAAAAATAAAATGTAACGTAATTCAATTTAATAGGGGCCAAATGGGGGCTTATTTTTTGTTTGGGTTTTATGCTTATCAGGTGTTTTTTTCCTGTAATAATGATGGGGCTAAGTTTTTTGCTGTCTTCATACCTTTATCTTTTTAATTCTGTGGATGGCTACTTGTTTTTGCTTTAAAGTCTATTAAATGGTACTTCAGTTCAAAAGAAATTAACTTGCTCAGGGCATGAAAGCTATCATTGTTTGGTCCAAGAACAATCATGTATGAGCACAAAAAATGGTGGATTTTGCATGTACTGGTAGCACATGTTTGTATCCACATCTGATATCTTCGCATTTTTGCCTTTCGATTTTTATGATTTCCATGATTTGTTTATATGTCTTAGGATTTTTGTATTTTATTGAACTCCCATGCTTACTAGCTCCTGATTTTTACACAAGGACGTTATATAGAGAGAATATTGAAGAAATTAAAATTTTATTCATTGTGCCTTTCAGTATTGTTCATTAATATATACCAAACTTGCGCTCAATGCAGTTCTTTCAACTACTGTTATTATTATTATTATTATTTCTTTTCTTTTTCTCTTCTATTATTTGCAGCATAAGATTGAAGAAAGGGTTAGTTCTGCATTTAGATTTGGCAGAGCTCTTTAAATATGGGAGGTAAATCGGCATATTGTCTCTCATTTTATCTTTCTACAAAGTTGTCAATTTCTCTTAGCTGAACTTGTGTATTGTTGGTTTGTGGAATTTGTACTTTTGGCTAAAACTAAACCCTATTTGGTGGGGATTAGAATTATATTTTTAGTAGATTTTGATTAAGTTGATAAAATGTGTTATTGAAAAGTTGTGAGGCTTATGAAATATGTTGTTAAAATTAATTTTTGTCTTTGACTTAAATTAAAATTTGAATTTTAATGAGTACCAAACATGGGGTAAATATGGGCAGATGGAAATATATGACCCTTGACATATTTTTTTTTTTATGTTATCTTTCCTTCTCCATTTATTGGATATTCTGACTGAAGAGAAGTTGCAGAAAATAAGCAATTGAAGGATTGTGAGGAGATAAGATATACATGGAGGATTAGGAATTTCTCTAGTTTAAATGTATCCAAGATTTGCTCTGGAATATTTGAGGTCAGTGGATGTAGATGGTATGTCTTGATACCGGAAATTGTTTTTAATCTTGCAAATCCCAACGGTAGATGAGTTTTATATTCTTACTTATGCAGGAGGTTACTCGCTTACCCAAAAGGAAAAGGTGATGAACATTTGTCTTTGTATCTTGAAGTTGCCAATAAAGATAGCTTACCAGATGGATGGAGTAGAACAGCCAACCTCACTATAATTCTGATTAACCAAAAGAATAGCACAATGTCTATCAAGCAAGGTAAGTAGTAACGCATTCTCATTAGGATGACACTGGAAATATGGAATCATTTTCCTTTTACATCCATTAACTAGAGTGGGACAGATGTATTGGATGTCAAGTCATTCTGTGAATATGGAATTTGTTAAGCCCCTCTTTGTCTTCCTTTAAAACAAAACTTTTAATTCTGATAGTCTTTCAACTATTCATTCACATAATAAAATATTTCACATGTAAATTCAAAAATTTTTCCCTAATTTTTAACCACACATTCTTCCAAAACTTTCACTTTTCAAAACATCATTTTTTTTTCCTCAATAATGGCCATTAAACATAGGCTAACTCGTTTGGAATTCTGGAATTTTGTTTTAAGTTCAAAACTAATATTCTCTGTGGATATTGGATGAGTAAATCGATGCCCGTTTGTTATTGATGCACATGAGTAAGTCATTGGTTAAAAGATGCAACAATTTTTGCACCCATTGTCAAGCAAAATGCGCGCACTTGGATGAAGAACACAATATTTTATAATATGCCTATAATCCCGTTCTGGATGCCAGTTTTGAAACGTTTTATACTTGAGTTTCAATCTTCAACATATGAATGTTCTTTATTGTGCAAGCCTGGAAATAGAAACTAAGCAGAGTTGGCTCTGTTTTCCACCCATGCAGAAGCAGAACACCAATTCAAAAAGGGAGATAGTGGCTGGCGCTTCGCCTCTTTTTTTCCTCTTAGTAAACTACATGATAAAAATGGTGGTTATCTTGTTGATGGGACATGTGTGATTGAAGCTGAAGTGTCCGTAACTGATGTCTTCCCTGTTTCCACAGATGAAGTGAGTTTTAATTTTGATAAATTTGTTAGATCTCCACGTCTGAAGACTTGATTCTTATCTTGATTTCTGGTTGATTGTTGCATTCAGCCTTCTGATTATTCCGTTCATAGCGATCAGAGCATCGATTCAATGAGTGATTTAGATGATGCGGAATCTATTTCCATCAAGGATGAATCCTTTCTCAAGTCAATATCAAGGGAATCAACTAGTTCGATTGAAGATGTCGCAAGTTCGGCAAAAAAGCGCTTTGACAAGCTGATTTCGTTACCTTTAGATGATTTGGTCGACCCGGAGAATGAAACTGCAATGATAGAGACTCTGTCAATACTTGGTGACAACCTTTCTTTGTTTTCTGACGACCTGGCAAAACAAATTATGCAGTTGAAAGCTAATTTCCCCATAACTCTACAGAAGTGGAGAGACTTGGTTCAAGTTAAGGAAAATTGTCAACATTCATTGTCCACTTCTGAGATAACCAAGAATTTGCTCGAAGATTCAGTCGAAACCGAAAAGGGAATAAAGACTCAACTGGAAGAGTTGAAGATCAGAGAGGAGGAGCTGAAGGTACAGCTAGAGGCACTTCAAAATAAGAGCCAACGGCTCGTGAAGGAACGGTTAGATGTATCAAAGCAGACACAGCAAATTTATGCTCTTGCTGAGGAGCAGGCGGGCAAGATTGGAGGCAAAGAGCAAGAGTTGAGTGTAGCGAACAAGAATTTAGAGGATTTGAAATCTAACTGGTCATCCATGAAATCTTTCTTCGTTGAAGGCTGAGCTTCTGGACCTCCAACATATAAATATAGTGTGGATTTTGAGGGGTGGTGTCGTGTTGTGTTTCTGGTTTTCTTTGCTGGATGTTGAGGGGTGGTGTGGACCTCCAACATATAAATACACTTTGTTTTGGTTTGTGTTTCCGTTCCACTTTTTATTTAAAGACTTCTCTTATTTGCGCAAATTGTCACATAAACGGATCCAAATAATAACCCCAATTTTCAGAAATTGAGTATTTTTGCGAAATTAATGGTGAGTTTTAGAACTTTTTCAATATGTTCAAGTTGGTCCGTAAAATTTTGTATTCGTCCATTTTAATCCTTCAAATTACAAGGATGTACAATTTTGCCCACATTCCAGATTTATGTACGCCTTAGTCCCTCAGCTTCAAACATGCATATATTTTATCCACAACTCTGAATTGTAACAAATTTTTGCTTTGAACTCAAAATTCAAGTATCTTTCCACTAAATAATAATCATCATTTGCTTTGTAGATTTTCGTACCCAACTTTGTACTCATTTCTTCACGTATTCTACACGTAGGTTTTATGTTTTGCATTGTTAGGTCTTTTTATGTCCCAAATTATTTCTTGTTGAATCAATTATCTTCAAATATTTGGTTTAAGTCTTTCTCTCCCACACAATTTCAACAGTATATTCTTAAAAAAATAATAATAAAAAATAAAAAATAAATCATTTTTTGTAAATTTTCCTTAATTTTATCCATAAATTCACCAAAAAAATAATTTTTAAAAAAATTTCTGCATACCTAGATATAAATAGTAATACTTATAATGTGTTATTATTGTGTTAATTACATTTATGGTTACTAAATTATTAAATAAATATAACATCAACAATCAATAATTTTTTTCCATATGGATATTAGTTACTTAATTTTCTAATTGTGACACTATATAACGGGTCATCTAATAAAGTTATTTATTACATCAATTCAATAAAATTGAGAGTTTGAAATTGAGTATTAAACACGTTCAATTATAAAATCCAAAGTGACCTTAATTTGGGTTAGATTTTTGAATATATATTGTACAATAAAATCACACATTTTTAGCAACTATTTTTGCTGAGTTCGCATAATAAATAACGTCTATATATAGAAAGTACGGGTTGACAAAAGATAAAAATAAGCCTGCCCATCTTATGAAAGTAGTAGTTATAAACAGTACAAGTTCAACAATAATCAACATCACGTCTCATAGTAGTTATGGACAAGGGAATGAGTCACTATGATGTCCTAGCCAAAGCATACATAAGGCATTAGAATCTAGTTTTCTGAAAAATATGAGTTTTGGTGCAATCAGAAATACACAACATAAAAAGCAACAAAACTAAAACTCAAGCGAAGAGAGCTTTAATGGAGGCCCATTTAGATTTCAAATCCTCCAACTTCTTGTTCGCAAGATCCACCTCTGGCTCTTTGCCTTTAATTTTGCTGGACTGCTCTTGTGCAAGAGCATAAACTTGCTTTGTCTGCTTCGATATTTCTACTCTTTCCTCCTTGAGTTGTCGACTTTTGCTTTTAAGTCCTTCTAGCTGCATCTCCAGTTCCTTTTCTCTGTTATTCAACTCCTCGAGTTTAGTCTTTATTCCCTCTTCAGTTTTGACTAAATCTTCCAGCAAATTGTTGGTCTTCTCAAAAGTAGACCATAGATGCTCGCCACTGACCTTAACTTGAACCGAGTCTCTCCAGTCCTGTATAGTCGAGGGAAAATTAGCTTTCAAACTCATAATTTCTCTGGCCTGTTCATCAGAAAACAAAGAAAGGTTGTCGCTAAGTATAGACAAGGACTCTATCATTGCAGTTTCATGCTTGGGATTGACCAAATCATCTAAAGGAAATGAAATCAGTTTGTTAAAGCATCCTTTTGCCAAAATTGCATGGTCTCTGAACAAAGGCACTTCACATGTAGCATCCGATACTGAGCTGAACGATTTCTTGGGTATGGACTTGAGAAAGGATTCAGCCTTGATGTATACAGATTCCACGGGATCAACAGGAACAGAAGTATCCGAAGGCTGACCACAACAATCAATTAGAAATCAAACTACAAACCAGGCAAATAAAACATTGGATCGAACAAAATTAAAATTCAAACAAAAAGAGAACTTTACATTATCCGTGGAAACTGAAAAGGTATCAGGCACAGATACTTCGGCTTCAATCAAGCACTTGAGAAAGGATTCAGCCTTGATGTATACAGATTCCACGGGATCAACAGGAACAGAAGTATCCGAAGGCTGACCACAACAATCAATTAGAAATCAAACTACAAACCAGGCAAATAAAACATTGGATCGAACAAAATTAAAATTCAAACAAAAAGAGAACTTTACATTATCCGTGGAAACTGAAAAGGTATCAGGCACAGATACTTCGGCTTCAATCAAGCACGTGTCATTGACAAGATACCCACCATTTTCATCATGCAATTCACTTAGAGGAAAAAACGACGTAAAGCCCCAATCACTTTCTTTTGCATGAAATTCGTGTTCTGTTTCTGCATGAGGCAACTCTGCTTAGTTGCTGTATCTAAGTTTATTCAAAGACAGAACACTGATACAACACGGAGTGAAACTGAGTAGATAACATTTCAAATTTGGGATACTGAAACCCGTGATTAAAAGTAGTTTAACAATTATAGACACTCGGAAATATAGCTAGGCAATTTCATCTTCCAGACTGCATAACAAAGTTACGTGTCTAAGATCAAGAGATTTAAGTCCATACCATAGTTCAAGTATTGTCATCTCAATGGTTCTATATAAATACCTTTCTTGACAGTCTTCTTGCTATCTATCTGGTTTATCAGAGCTATACTATACTTGGCAGTTCTACTCCAGCCATAAGGTAAGCTATGTGCATCAGGAACATCGAGGTACAATGACAAATATTCAACTTTATTTCCTTTTGGGAAAAGCAGTAACCTCCTGCAGATGTAAGAATAAAAAAAATAAAATAAAATCATCTTCACAGGATTTTGCAAATCTAATAATAATTTTTAGTAATAAGGCAGGCATACCATCTATATTCATTGATGACGAATGTTCCAGAGTAAAGCTTTGATTTGTTTGAACTAGTAAAATTCTCGATCCTCCATACAAATCTTGCCACCAGAAAATCCTTCAATTGCTTCTTATCTGCAACTTCTACACATTTCTTCGTTCAGTCGAACTAATAAATGGCATAATAAAAGTTAAAATAAGACAGATATGCCCATGCTCAACTCAAATATATCATATTGGATTTTAGCCAGATTTGCAGATTTCACACACTAAAGGCCAGTTTGGACATTCTGCTTCTGCTTTTTATAGAAGTAGGAAGCTGACTTATGCTGATTTCCACTAAAAACTCGACAATTCAAACATGTTTCAAAAGCAGAAACGGAATTCAACTAAGAAAAATTAACAATTTCATGGTCAAAGAAAATGAGTTCACCTTCCATACTCGAAGAGCTCAGCCAAATCGGGAAGTAAAAAACTAGCCTTTTTCCTCAATCTCAAACTGCACAAGAATAAAAAGGAAAGAAATTAACAATACAGTAAGTACTCCTTTTAACTACAAAAAAATCACTACTTAATCAATGTTTTCAAGAAGAAACAATTACCACTCCATAGAACAAAAAGAAAAAGAAAACATGGACATAATAACAGGAAAATAAGGTTAAGAAAAGAGGGAGAAAAAAAAAACCAACAAATAATCGTTTGGAATTTGAAACTAGACCAATAATGTTACTTCAAATCTCTCCACGGTAAAGAAGCAAAAGAGAGCAATTTTCAAAAGCCCAGAATGAAATTCAACAAAGAAAATACTCACTCCAACTCATAGGAATACAAAAATAACCTAAAAAGAAATTCGAGGAGAAAAAGAGAGTCTTCACTTGTAAGTAAGCCCGTCAACGCCAAAGCAGAGTCTTCTTTTGGTTCTTTTTCTCCACTTCAACAAAAAGCATAAAAAGTAACCTATGTGCCAAAAACGACTTATTACAATGGTCACTACACTTATATATTCATTTCTTTTATTGATCACTAAAGTTTAAAATATCGAATTTTGATTACTAAATTTAAGTTCATATATCTTCGATTGCTTATCGAAATTTAAAACATCTAATTTTAACAACTGTACTTTAAAAAATATCGTATGTTACTCACTAGCATAACTGCTAAACTTTTAAAAATATCTAATTTACGTTGAGTAATGTACAATATCTTTCAAAATTCAATGGTCAAAACTCGATATTTTAAATTTCAGTGAGCAAACGAAGACATAGACCTAAGTTCAATCATCAAAATTCAAAAAAAATATGGATCTAAATTTAGTGACCATTGAAACAATTAACTCAAGAAAAACACGCGTCTGGTCATTTTGCTCGAAACTACCCCTACAGATCAAAAACCAAACGATTTTAGTACTCAAGATAGAAAAAAAAATCTATTTTTTTTAGAAGAGTTTCAAGCATGTATGAGAATTAAGTTCTAGAAGAATTTTTGAACTTCCATCGAAAACTTTTTCAAAAATGTTTTATAAAAGTAGCACTTTTATAAAATTTTGAAAAGCAGCCTTTAGATTTCGAAGTCGTAAATGATGGGAGAAAATATAATCTTAGGGGGTGTTTGAGTCACATTATTTTGATAATAATGCATTTTTAAATAGTGTATTGATGGAAAATGTGTGATTAAAAAATAAGAAAAAATTTTAAATTTGTTGTAATATTATTTTATTGAAAAATATATGATTAAAATGATATCAAATTATTATTTAAAAATTTATTTTTTTAAAATAATGTGGCTCAAACAAGCCTTAGTCAAAAAATAGGTGAGTCTCAAGCTGTCTTGGGCAAGTTCGTGGGACAAGCAGAGTCATCTTTGTTGAATCGAGGTGATATTTTAGTTTAATGACTAAATAGGTCATAAAGATACTTTAGTGACGAATTATTTTGCTTGAACTTCAGTGACTATTAGTGAAATAAACTCCGGGCCTCGCCTACACTTTCCTCGAAAAAGTTAGAAGGGCGTTCAGGAAGAAGAGTTTAACACTGACTGAACTTCTCATCGGCACAGCATACTGGAGGATTTTTGGTAAAGATCATCTTTTTTTCCTTTTGTTTTCTTTGGCTATTTTGGCATTGTGCTAATTCCTGTAATTTGGAGGTTTTATTGGGATTAACTAAAATTTGCCACAGTTTATTTTGTGTATTGCTCTCTTTAGTGTCATGGTTTTTGTTCTGTACTGTTGAGAGAGGAAAATTTGGATTTTCAGTTTTATTCTCGTTTCTAATAACTCATGATCATTTATTTTTTGTTTGGGTTTTATGCTGATCATTTTTTCCTGTTATAATGACGTGGCTAAGCTTTTTGCCGTCTTCATTTCTTTATCTTTTTAGTTCTATGGATGGCTAATTTTTTCTGCTTTAAAGCTGATAAATGGTACTTCTAGTTCAAAAGAAATTAATTTGCTCAGGGCATGAAAGCTACCATTGTTTGGTCCAAGAACAATCATGTATGAGCACAAAAAATGGTGGATTTTGCATGTACTGGTAGCATATGTCTATGGCCACATCTAAATATTTTTGCAGTTCTGCCCTTCGATTTTATGATTTCCATGATTTGTTTATATGTCTTAGGCTTTTTGTATTTTATTGAACCCCCATGCTTGCTAGCTCCTAATATTCACATATTCTGCACGTTTGTTAGGGACATTATATAGAGAGAATATTGAAGAAATTAAAATTTTATTCATTGTACCTTTCAGTATTGTTCATTAATATATACCAAACATGCACCCAATGTAGTTTTCTCAGCTACTGTTTTTTATTATTATTATTATTATCTCTTTTCTTTTTCTCTTCTATTATTTGTAGCACAAGATGGAAGAAAGTGCTAGTTCTGCATTCAGATTTAGTAGAGCTCTTTAAATATGGGAGGTAAACTGGCATATTGTTTCTCATTTTATCTTTCTACAAAGTAGTCAATTTCTCTCAGCTGAACTTGTGTATTGTTAATTTGTGGAATTTGTACATTTGGCTAAAATTAAGCCCCTGTTTGATGGGGATTAAAACTAGATTTTTAGTAGATTTTGATAAAATTAATGAAATGTGTTATTGAAAAGTTGTGAGACCTATGTAATATGTTGTTAAAATTAATTATTGAGTTTGACTTAGATTAAAAAATTTGAATTTTAATGAGTACCAAATTGGGGCTAAATGTATGCTTGATGATATATGACCATTGACATACATA